TTTAATAGGGATGATGCCGGGGTAAAATAAACGAAATTCCACCATTAAATCCTCCAGTTCACCATTATCAAAAAAAAATGGGCACTTATTTTTGAAGTGAAACTTCTTGAAGGGAAAAGATGAAACGGAAATGCGTCACGAGCGTCACACGACTATATATATATCAAAAATCAAAAAATAAAACAAATTTTATTTTTTAATATAAAAAATTTAATAATTCAATCCTAAGGCGATTGTAATAAAACTTTGATAGAAATAAAAGATAGTTTAACCAAACTTAAAAAAACTTTTATTAATAAATTGTTGTTTATCTAATACAAAATAAATCCTCCTCTGGCTCGAACATATGCGGAGATCCGAGAGAGAGAGAAGATCAAGTTATCCAGCATTTCTTGTGGTAACCTGTCCCATTCTTGAACAGCAGCTTCCCTGAGCTGCGGCACGGTCTGGGGTGGTGGCTGCCGGTTCCAAGCGGCTCGCTTAAGAGCATCCCACGCGTGCTCTATTGGGTTTAAGTCAGGAGAGCCGGCAGGCCAGTCTAACCTTGTGATTTCGTATTCTCGGAGAGCAGCATTGACTCGTTGAGTTCGATGTGCGGGCGCATTATCGTCAACCAGTTCAAATTAGTGCCCATGGTTTACTCGGAAAGGTCTGTTGATAAAATGGATGGATGGATGGATTAAAGTAGAACGCGCTTCTGAGCAGCTGTCAAAGCAGTTGGGTGACCGCTGCGGGGTCGATCAGCTAAATTATCCATGCCGTGGTACCTCTGCAACGTAGTTACAGGATTGGGATATGGCAACTCTGCCTGCTATTTCTCTCGTAGAATAGCCTTCTTCCCTAAAATTCTGGCTCGTGAAACATCTGATAATCCTCGAGGCATTTTTAAATCACAACTTTCCGTGAAAAAATATTTTTAAATTCGATAATACTGACTACGTCAGATTTCTGAATGAGTGTCAGCTTGGATTGCATGTCTTTTTATATGGAAAAACAATTGAATTATTTTGTTGTTTTACGTTCCAATTCTAATTTTAAAATCAAGAATTCTATTAGAAAAAGAAATTACAAAAAAAACTTCTGTAACACAAAAAACAATCTATTTTTCAAAGTGATCGCAATCTTTTTTGATGTGTGTATGTTGACAACATTTCTTTACTGTTACTCAAATGTCGGTAAGGTTGACCCTACTGTTTAATATAGTATTCTACTATATTAGGGGTTCAAATACTATTATTCTAAAAAATTATGTAGTAGGCGAAACTACTATCTTTGCTTAAAGCAGACTTCTGCCAGTAGAAGCTTTCTTAAACATAATAACTTGATTATTAAGGCTTAAATAGCAGCAAAAATATATTTATTTAAAAAATAAAGTAAGTATTTTAACCACATACAATTCTTTTTCCATTCTATGCCATCTACTATATTTTTAGAGGTAACAGCTTCGAAAATACTATATTTGATAGAAAAAAAGTTGACAACCCTAACTGTGGGTAAGCCAATACTTTTGTTTACAGTATGGGTACCAGCTGCAGCTATGCAATAACATTATACATCTTTACAGACACGTTATATTTCCTCTGAGTAGGTACATCATAAGCTTTTAATTACTTAAGTTGATATTATTAATTTGTTAAGCAAATAACTGCTAGATGTTTAAATCGAAAGAAAATTATGCTAGAAAAAATTACATTGGTCATTGTGGGTTACCTACAATGCGAAGAGATGGCGCTGCGTTGCAGCCTAAGGCTAGAGAAAATTCGATACGGCCATCAGGGTCGCGGTAGCATAATAGTCAGTGCATTCTCTCGGATAGCGAAGGGTTCGAGTCCCGTCTGCTGCCTGGCCCGCGTAAAGTTTTTTCTAGTATAATTTTCTTTATACTTAAGTTGAGTTGCACCAACTTAACTGTTCAGTTAAAGTACTGATTAGGTAAAAAAATGGGTTACACCATTTGGCGATAATAATTTAATTTGTCGAGCTACCTTCAAAAGACTTTTAATGAGCGTTCGGTTATTTCATTGTTCGATTTTTAAAGTTTTATTGTCTATGTGTGAATTTATTATTTAATTTACTTAATAAAGTATTTTATTTAAAAATTTTTTTTGTAATTTTGAGTTTATTTATTTGACCCTAACTACCGTAAACTACCACCGGTTCCAAAATTGGGAGACCTTTCTGAGAAGAACCGGCGAAACAAACTCAAGAGAGGCTTTCTATCTCCTTCTTATGTTAAATTATGCAAACAAAAAGAACTAATAGTATCTGTTGGTCTTGCAGTGTGTGCTCAGGGTTGGGATTTTATCTCCTGTATAATGGGTTCCCAAGCATCTTCCCTATAGAAATTTGGATATTTTTTAATCTCAATAGCCTCGCGTATCATTCTAGGAACGAATCATTGCTCAGTTGCAAGGATCTGTGGCTTATCAAATCTAATGTAATGGTTTGGTCCCCCTAATGCATGTTCACACACATGTTTCGTGCATTAACCCGTAAAATCTAGTTTTATTGAATGAATGATATGCGTGAAAACCTAAGAAACAAATAAATCTTTAATGTTTAACGATTGCACTTATTGGTTAAGATATTTCGCTTATATATCAGGGAGACTTGCTCACCTAATCTACATGCTTTCACGGTATTATTCGAGGAAATTTGTCTAAGTATTCGTGTGTCGCTATGTAAGTCTTACTTACAATTTGCTAGCTACCAACCGGCTATTTAAGTGCATCTTTCGAACAATTGTTTGCTAATCTAATGTGTGTAAATAATTACTAGTAGTGGATACATTGGAACTACGTGTGTTGATAACATTTCCTTATTGTTACCCAACTGTGGGCGAGCGTAATGTTTGTTAGCATGCGTAATTTCGACGCGTGCGCAGGCAGGACTAGCTATCTACGCAATATGCGAGTTGTGATAAGCGAATACTTGGGTGCACTGTAGCGTTGCGGGGTACAGTTTGTGGTGATAGTGTGAAATGGAACGTTACGCATCATGTGGGTGTGACGCTATGGTGAAAGAATAGGAATTTAAATGAAAAGTGCTTGGAGTAAAGATAATGTATAATAATAATGTTAGGATGGAATTGCCAAATATCAGTTCGAATCGCTGGAGTTTTGAATTCTATATAACATCATTTGGACGATTCAAAACAATTGTTCTATGCATCCAATTTGAATAATGATATTTTTATTCAGACTAAGAAGATCGTGATTCCTAATCCGGACCTCATCTTATAACAATTCCTCAGTCTTGCACATCGTCGTAAGTTTGCCTGCCACGAAATGTATTTTGGAGAATCTGCACATTAAATTTTTGAGATGATCCATACTGATTTCAGTAAGATTTTTCACAGACTCTTTAAGATTTAAATGAAATTTGGTACTATAATAAAGAAGACCTTTGAGAAGGACATCAAGTTACTTTTTGTCTCGGAAATAATTTCTGCTTGTTGGGGGTTAAACTTGGGGATGACAGTTTATATGGTAAATGGATTTTTATACTTATGTAAATTAAATACACAAACTATTAACTCATTTTTAGGATTGTGTACCGCAGAAGCCTAATCAGATCACTTTATTGTTTGTCCGTATGCCTGTTTGTCAACACTTTTTATACTTATTGGAAATTTGTCGAGTTGACATTTAAAATATTACTTTAGTCAACGGTACCTTGAAGCTGTGGAAAAATCACACTTGTAAGTTAACGTAAAAAAAGATACGGCCGTTTATGGTGCGTACTTACAAATTTGTACGGAACTCACGGTGGGCGAATCGCACTGGTCTGGTTTTTGTAAGTATGTTGATAGAAAGAAAGAAAAATAATTTTATTTGGGACAAAACAACAGTAAAGGAATAATAAACAAAACTCACAATATTTTTTTGTCTCAAAATGGTCCTAACTCAGCATGTTGCTGATGTTGCCATCAGCGCTGGTCTTCCGTTGGATAGGCTTTTAGTATCTAATCGCGTGAAGCAGTTGATGCGGTCTGTGATTTTCTTTCGCTCCCTATCCAGTATCTTTACTGTACTAATGATATTGTAAATGCGGGAGAAAGTTTTTCTGCTAACGTCTAGCCATTGAAAAGATTTTGACTTCTGTTTGACTTGGAGAATAAAGTTTTGTATGAAAATTCTTTTTCCGCAGACGAAGTCGCCCATTAGTGATTGTATTATTTAAATAAATATGTTGCGGTTGATGTATCAATAATTATGTGTTATCAAAGCAATGATAAAAATACAGAAAAAATATGAGCTCCTTAATTCAATTTGATTGATTGACTTTGATACCTCCTACTGAGGTTGGATTAAACCGATTGGATAATCTTTAATTAATTTTATTTGTAACAAAACATTTATCATTATCATCGTCAGCCCATTAATGTCTCCACTGCTGGGGCACAGGCCTTCCCTATGGGTGGAATAGGCAGATTGGGTCATGACCCACCACGCGGACGCGGAGGATTGGCGGGTGCTAATGACTGCAGATGCAGCCGGGACCAACGAAGCACTTATCTGGAAATATGAATTAAGTCTTATTATGTGTTAAAATTTAATTGGGAAAGGCAGAAAAAAGTGATATTTATATTTTCCTGAGAACAAAATCGTAATCACATAAACAGGCATAATTAAATATATCCTTTAACTTAAAAATACCCAGTATGTTATAATTATTCATGGTGTACACTTTTAGTACCTATATGTTTTTTTAAATAACTTTAATTTACTTTTTGTCAAATCTCGATAAAAAAACTATTCAGTTCATCAGTAATAAAAGTCTTTGTAACATAAATGGTGAAAAGCGTTGCACGAACATCCTTAAGACTGTATTCGCCGAATTAAAATAAAATGTGATTTCCAAGTAAAAATTGGAGCAAACGCCAAATCGCTGGGCATTCACATTAAGACTGCTCATACGCAAACACCGCAAACATTACATTCCTTTGCGCTCTACTCTGTACTCTTTTACTTTACCGTGCATTACCCAGTTAGTCGACTGGCAGCGCGCAGTAGGCCGCACGCGTCGCGCGCGCTTTCCTAGCCACACGGAGAAAGAAAAAAAAAATCGATCGGGCGAGAATTAAAAAGTTAACTGGTTGGAAATAAAAAGTAAACCATTATTGTCGTTGATCGCGTTATTTTATGCTCTGTGGCGTGATCGTGAAGTGGTCCCTCCCGTGGATTTTGCCTCTTTTCTGCTGTGGTGCAGAAAAGCACTCTCTACATTCCTGTTCTGTAAGCAGAGTTCTTTTTCATCATCGAATCGTGTTATAAACGCTTGACAGTTTTTGTTTTGTTTGTTTACTTTACGAAAGCTTTGAAGAACCGCAAAGTAATAAAATTACGTGTTACAACTGATTACGAAAGTTTGTTGACAAACTTTATGCACTACTAGCGGCCGCACGTGGCTTCGCCCGCGTTAACTATAGTTTTTTGAGATTTCGACAGTGGTGTCGATTCTGACATGATTCTCTAAACCTAAACTTAAATTTGACAACAGTGTATCCTTGTCATTCTCTATGCAAAGTGAAAAGGAGAGACGATGGAGAGAAAGGAAAGGAGAGATGTTAAATTTAGTTTTAAGTTTAGAGAATCACGCCAGAATCGACACCAATAATCTATTTTTCCGGTATAAAACATTATCCTTTGTCTCAATCCAGGTCATAAACTATGTGCGTACCACATTTCACCTAAATTCGTTCAGTAGCTTTTGCTTGGTTGAGTAAAAAACTTTCAAACTAACAAATTTTCACATTTATAAAATTAGTAGGATTTTGGAATCTGAAAATGTAATAAAATTTTGCATTAAAGTTAAATGTCTTTATAATGTAAAATTCATAACGACTCCATTAAGCTTTATGCAATTGGTTAAACAAATACCTATAAAGAGTTTATTGTTGTGGATTGGTTCCGGTATACGGACTTTAGTGATTGTACTAGATTACAGTTTTATAAAGAACGATAAATAATGTTTTTTTTTCTCATGAAATAATGGAAATAACTGTTTACAATGTTCTGTGTTGGTTATGATTATGGGGCTATTAGAGAAATTTTAATGTGTAGTTGTGCTCTGCTTTATTGTTTATTTCGTATGATTTGCATATTTTAAATAGTAAGAATATGAGAGATAACATAGTTACTGTTAATGAACAGATAAAAACGAAATTTCATGAAAAAGTTAAAAAAAAAAAACAAATGTGATCATGAAACGAAATTACTGAATGCATCCCCTTATTAGTTCCGCCCAAAACATCAAAGATGATTGAAGTATGAAATAACTGTTTTTCGTGTGTTTTCTAAAAAGTGTTTTTACTACTTCTAAAGAAGAAAAGTAGTTACTTAGGGACGTCCGTAGTTTGATATCAGTACCCCTAGCACGAACCATAATCGAATTCGTAACGTTTGCGAGTCCGAAATGTCATTGTCAAATGTATACTGATTTTTGTTCCCGTCACGTCCAAAGTGGCACTGCTGTTCAAGTTTCCATACAAAATTTGATATTGACATTTCGGTTTGCAAAGTATTCGAATTCGATATTGGTTCGTGCTAGGGGTACAGATTAAGCCATTCCTATGACTTTGACTAAAATCCTTTGGAAATGCTATATATTCCAGGATATACATTATACATATATAGATGCTTTATTGCTGTCAATATATATCTAAATAAGATCCTAATTAGAATACTAATTTACAGACGTTTCGATTTTGATTTAGATCATGTTTCAATGAAACATTTCCTATTGAAAACTGATATTTCTTTAAAAAATTTAGAGCCGAAAGTATATCTAAGTGATTATGAGTCGTTTTAATTGAAAATATTGATTTACTTCTTTCTATGTATTGATTGCCTCAAAAATATATCAAAGTTATATTGTTTTAAACTTTCATGGTCACTAACATTATAGTAATATAAGTTATTTACGGGATTGTTACCATGAACAGTGGTACGGGTATCGAACGCAATAAAAGACTTCGTCGGAGGGTAGACCGATATGTCTGCCAATAACAGCTTACCCGCAATTACTTTAGTTACTCCGTGATCATGGCGCTTGCAACAGTGCTGAAATATCGGAAACTCGCTAAAAACAAGGTACATGGCATGGTAACAATCCCGTGCATAATTTATATTACTATAATATCAAAGTTAGTATTGTTATTCTAATGACTCTTAACGTTAGATGATTATTTTTACATTGAGTGCAGTGCCGTAGATTTGAGAAACTTTTTCCTATTTCCATTCCGGAGTACTTGAACTTACTTGCAAGATATTAATTGAAATTCGTTTGTGAGTAAAAAATGTCATTGGTATGCAATACAATGGGGGAAATGATTTAGTAATGCACTTTACGTTGAATGAGTGCTTACAGGCAGTTCCGGTTATTCAGTCGGATAAGTTTTTCCATTTACCGTTTGAGCGAGAGTTTTGTTCGACGTTAACAGTAATCGCTGAGAGTTGTTCAGATTAAGATTACTGAGTACAGTAGTCTTAGCACGAACCAATATCGAAGTCGAATAGTTTGCGAGTGCGAAATGTCATTGTCAAATTTTGTATGGAAACTTGAACAGCAGTGTCATACATAACGGACGTAACGAGAACTAAAAATCAGTACACATTTGACAATGACATTTCGGACTCGCAAACTATTCGAATTCGATATTGGTTCATACTAGGGGTACAGTACTGTACACCGTAAGTTATATTCATCATCATCATCAGCCTATTAAGGTCCCCACTGCTGGGGCCCAGGCCTTCCCTATAGATGGAGATTGGTCCATAACCCACCACTCGAGCGGATTGGTGGGTACTGGCGGCTGCAGATGCAGCCGGGACCAACGGCTTAACATGCCTTCCGAAGCACGGAGGAGCTCGAGATAGTAAATTTTTGGTCACTCATCCAATGACCAACCACTGCGAAAGTTGCTTAACTTCAACGATCGCAGCCGAACGCGCTAACCACTTGCGCCATCGAGCACCTCAGTTATATTGTACGCAGCGTATTAAGGGTCGGTCTACCTCTTACCATCGTATGGTGGGAAATCAGCATGAAAATTTTCTTCGAAATTCTGAAATAAATATAGGTGTGGTTTTATGAAACCTCCGTGGCCGAGTGGTTTGTACTCCGGGTTTCGAGGTGTCGCTTGTTCGGGAGGTCCTGAGTTCGAATCCCGGTGGGGGCAGATGTGATGAATATGAGCATTCAGTTAAGTGACATGTGAAAGTCGAAAACTACGCCATCGGTTCGCAAAACTCCAAAAGTTCGCAGACCTTGTACTGAGAAGAACCGGCAAGAAACTCAGCAAGGGCTGCTTATTTCTCCCTGTTTTATTTGATACAGTGTCATCAAATTGAAAGTTGACATCAAACTTGCAAACATGTGTTGAGGTCAACTTCCATCGCATAATAAATTGTCAAATAGGTAACAATAGACAATCAACGAATTTATTAATAACAAGTGTAAATATGTACCAATAATCGTAAAACCTTATTTGTCTTCGGTCTGTTCTCAGTTTTAATTGAATATAAATATAATATGTATGTACCTATTAAAGTAGATAATGTCACTGTTAATTATTTTTTGGGACCAGTAATTAGTGGCATACGTGGTTTCGCAACTAGGTAAACTTATGACCTCAAAAAGTAAATGAAACGGTAGGCGGCATTTCAATAATAAATAATTAACTAGACAATGAGTTGTGTGACACATGAGTCATTCTAACGGATCCTCAAGGTTTCGCCATAGGTCTTTATGTGGTACAGTTGGCAGAAATATATTGCTAATACGACCTTAAGGTGTATGGTATAAGGATCAATATAGAGTCCCTTCGTTTCCCTTAATGTATTACGACGTTAACACAATTTAGTGCTTGTTATTTACTATTTGTACTCCTAAAGGATGTACGGTTCATCAACATGACGTGGTATAGGGAGGATTTTTTTATTAGCAAATTATCTACCTCGCTTTTAAATTCTTAGCGAATTTTCCACTTGCATCAGTGTTTGTGAAAATTTACGTCTACAGTTGGCGGCAATGTTGCATGAGGTCATTTGTATGAAATTTTTGGTGCGCATTAATCGAACGAGCATTCAAATTGGTCCATAGCGTTACTTCGATAAAGTCGCGCATTATCCGAACCCCTTAGTAGTCAAAGCCTTTAGCTATCACATGTCCGTCCTCCCGTCCTCCAATCGTAGGTCCCTCCGATTCCGTCGGCCGACGCACGTCTTAGACTACCCCGACGACGAAATCACCCGCGCCAACGCGTCTCCGACTCCCCCCACACAGGTACAAACACCAAAACTACACAGCTAGCATACTTTCACACTAGCTCAGCATTAGGCAGACACCGCACCCGTAGGATAAGAGTGCGAAGACCCGGTCTACACACGACACGCTATACCAGGTACAGGTACGTACCTGGGCGTTTTTCCGCGCCCCCCCACTACAACGGCTAAATAGAGCCGAGGTCCGAGTTTCAGAGACGCCCTGTAGTTGCGCCGACCCCTCAGGTCCGAGGGGTCCAGAGGCTCCAGATGGAGAGGAGACTCCCCTTGTGGGGAGATGTCATCCGCCTGGAATACCTCTAGAGGCACTCGCCAATTTTCGATTATTGTAACGTGATATTAGGTCAGGGAAGACAAAGCGCGAGAATTACTCTGGTATCGCAAGCGTCTACCAAAACAACGGGCGAGACAGTAAAATGTTTCTTGACCGAGACAGTGATGAAAGAGTGCTCGGCTGAACACTCGGCGCTAAGTTTATACGTACCGAGTATTCGGGCGAAGCACTGTCTCGCTCGTTTGCTCGGTACGTGAGCTCAAGGCATATGTATGGTAGAAAGCCGATTACCATCATGCGGGCGGGCTGATGCGGGCTGTATGCTTGTTTGCCTTTCTTTACATACAAAACGTAAGTGTCGTGGAACACTCGGTTGGAACGAAGTTAAAAATATATACCATAAGGGGATCCCTCCCCTACTATAAGAAAACTACCATAGATAGGAGAAACCTACCACAGGCAAAAACTAGCATCATCATCATCAGCCTAGTAATATCCCTACTGCTGGGGCACAGGCCGTCCCTATGGATGGAATGGGGAGATTGAGCGATGACCCACCACGCGGGCCCAGTGCGGATTGGCGGGTGCTAATGACTGCAGATGCAGCCGGAACCGACGGCTTAACGTGCCTTCCGAAGTACGGAGGAACTTGAGATAGAAGATTTTTGGTCACCTA